TAACAAAAGCTTGTTCATTAAAAATATTTTCTTATCATGATTGCTCCACTTAGATTTCTCTAATATGGACACAATATAAGCACAATCAATAACTTCCCATAAATCAATATTTCTAGATTCAATAAATATTTTAAATTTTGAGCACCATTGGGCATAAGGGAAATTTCTAAATTTTGGAGCAATATTTGGATCATAGCCTAAACGAAATATATTTATATTCATGATATATATGTGAATATATGCAAGCAAAATAAATGCAATCATAACTAGATTAGCACAAGTAAGATAACTTGGATCTTTAACTCAAGGCGATTAGTCCTTAAATCAAAGAGCACCAAGCACTAATACCAATTGTTAGACCCTAGAGGGGGGGTGATTAGGGTCTTATGCTAATCTAATCCGATTATATGTCAATTAAAATTTATTAACAAATATATTCTTACAAGATAGATATACAACTAATTATGAGCAAGAATATGCAATATGAACAAAGGAAATATCCTAGCAATGAGATATACTATGAGATATATATGCAAGGATATGAAACTAATACAAGGGTAAACAATTTGAAACTAGATAGTGGGCAACCTAAATTATGAGACAATGACGATATGAGCAATGAGCACAAATAAGAATAAACGCCAAAGCACACTCAAACACAATCAAATGATTACGAAGTTCAGACCTTTCGTCCTACGTCTCCGCTCCCTACTCCCAGGGAGAAATCCACTATCACAACCGGGTTTTCTATGCTCACCCGAATAACGTTTACACCTCACAATGTTAGTTTTCAATGTCCACTGATCAATGTTCACAAACACTCACAGTGTCGGTTTTCAACGTTCACCGATCAACGTCTACTCCTCACACTCGGTTTTCTAGCTCACCAAAAACTTTACAATACTAACAATGTAACTACAATAAAATGTTCTCTAACATGAATGAGAACTTAATTAAGCACAACTCAATTGTTACAATCTCTCACAACCCCAATATACTATACTAAAAGCTCAATGTGGGTGTGTGTAACAATGAGATAAATCAAATCTAAACTCAATATAAAACTAGCTTTAATAAAATGATAAACAAACAAATAGATATAAAGCTATAAATAGAGTTTAGAAAACTTCTCAATGGATCAAGAGATCGAGGGAAGATGGTTGGAAGCTCAAGCACCAATAGGATCTCCTCAAGCTCTTGTGAAATTGATTTCACCAACCCAAAACTCTTAATTGCTTAAAAGCTTCTTAAACACTCTTTTAAACAAACATTAAACACGTTTAAACCCTTGTTAAACTCTTTTAAAATATTCTCTTGGGTTACTGAAGAACTGAGATCCAAGGGGTATATATAGCCTCCCAAAATCTCAGCCAAAAACCCCAAAAAAAAACCAAAAAGCCCACAGAATCCAAAATCAGATTCTGTACAAAATAGCCATTGGAGTATACAGAGGTCGACCGTGAAAATCTCGCGGTCGACCGCGAGCCACTTTCGAAGCTGAGAATTTTCTAGAGACTTTGGCAGTCGACCGTGGCGGGCGTCGACCGCGAGCCACTTTCGAAGCTGAGAATTTTCTAGAGACTTTGGCAGTCGACCGTGGCGGTCGACCGTTGGAAAATTTGAGCTGACAGTCGACCGTGACGGTCGACCGCGAAAGTTTCTGTTTGACTCCACAGGTAAAAACTCAGGTGCGGTCGATCGTGGCGGTCTACCGCAAACTGATACATGAACAGAACAGTTTGAAAGTTCATTTTCTGATTTTAAAACCCTGTTTAAACATATCAAATAAATTCAAAAAAATGTAAAACTTTGGAAAATGATTGTAGATATGATAATACATATGCTATAAAAATTGGTTTTCAAAAAAGACTTCCCAAATAAAAAATATCATCATTTTTCAAAATAGTCCAAAACATGAAAATGTGAACACATGAGTTTTAACATTTTAGCTTAACCATGTTTTGAAACATTACAAAATAATTTTGTAAACTTAATAAAAGATGTATATGATTATTGTTAAGTCTATAAACCAAGAAAACAATATTTTCACAAATACAATAGAAAATGAAACATATGAGTATGTATATGAAAATATATTTGTTTCATATCTAAGTAGTTAAACCAAATCACAAAAATAAATATGAAATATATAATTTCATATTTATAAACATGAAAGCCAAAACTTGTGTTGTATATATATATGACTACATATATATACAAAGAAACCAATAAAATGTGTGTGTATATGATATTGAGCTTAACGTACTTAACACACATAATATAACACCTAAACTAAATTACCCAAGCTTGATTGATCTTCGATGTAGCTCAACTTAGTACACTTGCGGATGAAGTTAGAGCTTGGATATTCAATTTGAATTGCATAGCCTTCACTCCACAATTCCGCCAACCTCCATTAGATATGATCGTGAATGTGCAATTCCATCCATCCTCCAACTTATTGTTTGTCTACAATAAATAACAAAATACACACACTAGACAAACAATATTAGATGTAAATTATTTGTTAAATCATCATCAAAACAAGAAGGCCAACAGGATTGCTGATTCATGCTGCACAAGCAAATAATTCATGAGAGGATGGGGACCGATTTCCGCGTGATTCCTCCGACGATCAAGTCAGCTGGTGAGCTTCAGTGGAGAAGGGGAAGGTCAGGAGCCGATGAGGTTCTTGAGGGAGTCGTGTGCATGTGAGAGGGATATCCATTGATCTCCTGCTCTTGTTCAAGCTATTATAGTGTTATTTTCAGAGAAAGAGAGAGATCTCTTCTCTTTGCCAAAAAAAATGTCCAGTCCGGTCAAGTTAGGGTAGTACCTTTATATATATTTAGTGTGTGAATGACAGTTTTGTTATTTTGATCGAGCACAGAAAGGCGGGGATGAAGTGCAAGCTGGCAGCTGAGTCATCCCCATTTCGACAGGTGTCGGCTGGCGACTAGGAAGTCACTTTGATATGGGAGGGCGCGTCTCCGCAATATCTGGGAAGTGATGGTGTGTCAGGGAATGCTAGCAGCGGAGTTGACCTTTTATTTACAGATGTCGGCTGGCGACTGGCGGAAGAGTCACTTCGGCATGGGAGGACGCGTCTCCGTATTATCCGGGAAGTGATGGTGTGGTAGGGTGTAAGTGGCGTGACAAGTCATAGAGGCTATCGAGCTAAGGTCGTGATGAACCCTGACCAGTGTGGCGGTGCTGACACATAGTCAGAAGAAGAGACCCGATACAGGTATTATCCTTCGGATCAACTGAGGAATACCTCCCTTCGAGTCGTCCTGCAAAGCATCAGATTGATTTTCGAGTAGGCTCTTGGTGAGTCGTATTCGAGAGGAAGTCGACTGATCCCACCTTTCGAGTCGACATGGATAGCATAGATTCGACGAGTCGGCGGAATAGGTACTTTTGCTGGTCTTAGGCCGCCAAGTTAATTAGGGCCGTTCTTTTAGAAATGTGTCCATTTGTCCTGTCTATGCTTTGCATATGTTTGGCAAATGGGAACACCATAACACCATTAATCCCTTCTTTATTTATATATAAAAGAGAAGAGTATTAAAAATATAATTATTTGTTTTTTAAACATGGATAATTAAAGATAATTAAAAATATGATTATTAATAATTTTTCAATTATGGATAATTAATATTTGATTAGGATTACCAAATATTTTCCAAAATTAGAATTTTCTAGACATGATAGATTTAAATTGATGGAGGTTCTAATTATAATCCCTCTTATATATATATAAATAAAAAGAGGACTAAAATTGTGATTATTAGATTTTTTTTCCTAAATATGGATAATTAAAGAAAATTGTGTGAAGATCACATCAAAACCACTTGTATAAATATTTGTATGCAGAGTCGGCACCGATTGAAATGTGTAGAAGCCCATCAACTCCTTTTCTCTCAAATCAACCTTCTAACTCTCAAATCCTCTCCCTGGTCTTCTCCTTCAAGAAGCCAATTAACTCCTCTACTCTCCTCAATCTTCATCAAAGTCCACCCTCCTCCCCCTCATCTATGCCTTGCGCCGGGCCCACAAACCCAACCAACCCATTAACTTCTACTCCTCCAACTTGTCAACCAACCCATTACAATTCCTTACTCTCTCTAATTCCTCAATATTTTTAGTACAAATACAAAATATTAGTTTCCCCTAAACAACACCACAGTAGCCTAAAATTTAGTTGTGCATTCCTTTCAATCACAAAAATCAACACCTAATTACTAAAACTTTCCAACATAAACACAAAATTGATTTTTTTTTTCTTGTTTTTGGTCTTCCACTCCTCTGCCAAGAGTACCTAACCACGATAGGAGCCGAGTTGGAGATAACTACATCATTGTTCAAGTCCGTGGATGAGAGAGAATTCCATTTGTTATTTTGTTTCCTTTTGTTAGAGAAACAAAAGAACATACTCCGTTGCTATGAGAGTGAAAAAGATGAGACGAGAAAATAGTCGCAGCCAGCGATGCACGCACGCCTACATAATATTGGGCCGTGCTCTCTGTTGAAACCACGCACCTGCGGGGTGAGCACACAGCGAACTGCCTTCTACTAAAGAATACCGTGTACCCTCCTCCACACCTAAGCAGCATACGCTACTTCTCGGAGGGTTGCCCCTTTTCTCTGAAAAGGGCACCCATCAATTCCGTAATTAAAATTTTTTACGGCATCTGAGCATTTTGACAAACGTCCTCAGAGAAGCTCAAATCTAGCCCTCCAATTATTAAATTCATAACTTATAATAACATTACCTGTGACCTATAATAAAACCACTGGTTATGTCATGCGGTTTGGTCCTTCAAGCGTTTAGGCAGTTGTAGAATTTAAGTTACTGATAAAAAAAAGTTTGATGTTGTGCAGGTACAACTTCTTACAAACAATTCCCTAACCTGAAACAAAAAAAACAATTACTCTGCT